CAAACAACATTGATGAGTCTGAAAATATAAAAATATTGTCCCTAGTTTCAATGTCCTGTACCATTCTGAAATGAATTTAATGACTTTTGACTATGGAACAACTTTCAAAGAGCCAAAGTCAAGTTCTTGGTAAATTTCATATGGAAACTAATAATTAGTTAGTTAGTATAGGTACAAACTTGTTAAATACCATTTTATTTATATATTCCTACCTTGAACAAACTTGGAACCGTACTCTCTTTCCAAAACCGTTTCCTATTCTTCATTGGCAAGAGACAGTTCCCTTAAAATGTTGGAAACATATAGTATCATGTTCGCTTACTTCAAAAACTCACATTCCTGAAATATAAATATCATTAAGTTTCAAATATTATGCGATTCAAGAAAAAAAGTTCACCTTGATATCCAATGAATATGGCGTGAACCCCTCAGGATTTGAGGCTCAAAATCACAACAGTGGGGATTGGGGAAACCATGTCTTGATATTACAATAATTACACCTTCACCTCCTGGAGTGCGCAGTTTTCAGATGACATTGCAAAATATCACAATCGCACTCACAAACCAATCAACAAACTTTGATAAAAAAACAATACTAGAAGAAATGATTAGGTATAATTGTAATTTCCAAGAAAGGAAATCAAAGTTCAACACATTCACAAAGACGAAGTTATAAGTTAATGACAACTGTCAGAAAATAATTTTATGATTACGTGAATCTTCTTCATCGTCTTCCTATCAAATATCACGTCAATGATAGAAAGCACGTCTGTGGTTGAGTACATATTGGAGAAAAATAGAAGAAGAGAATATCAACCTAATATGATGGTCTATTTTGACATAAACAAATGAGCTTTTTCCATTTTCAGGATGCCAGCGCCACTTGACAGGCAGACAGATTTTGATTCAAAGAACAGACAATATTGTACCTCCTCGCGTACTAGGTCGCCTACTAGGTTTTCATTTAGATCGACAATGCCTCGATCGATAGTGCGGCAAGGAGGGAAACGGTCACTCGTGACGTCACAGGCAGTAAGACGACAAGTTGTCAACCTTAAAGTGGAGCATAATTATGGAGCTAGTGATTACTTATGCATTGATTATGAACCTACTCATCCAATAAATTTCCTGCAAATCAGATAATGTGAACAAGAAACTACAGAAAATATAAGAATAATCAACTGATGATCCAGAAGTAGTAGCAGTGGACCAATATTTGTACACAACAGATCACTTATTTTCCTAGATACCTATAGAAAATACAAGAGGAAATAGTATTTTATTGTTTGATTATATTGTAGTCAAAAACAGAGCAATTGATCGAAGTATTTGAGCATAAAAAAATAACAAAATATGATTCTGAACAAAATTAATGAAAAATAACACTACTATTATAAGTGAACCTATAATAAAGGATAGTTCAAGGAATCTCTCAAATAAACATAGCTCCTCTTCGTTGGGTAACGTACTCTTGCTCAAATATCTCAACTTGAAAACACGTGTGATATCTTCTGATGTCCATTTTACCCGTTCAGCAAGAATCTCAACATTCACAACTGGTCTGGTTCTGATCATTTTTCCAAACTTGAATACTTATGGTGTTTCTCTTGTTGTATTTGGTATTATTGATGGGATTCCTACCTTGAGTTTTCTTCTCTTTGGTGTGTGATTTAGCAATTCTGCTTGTGCCGTTCAAAATCCTCGGCATCGAAATGGGCAGAACATATTCGCCAAGTTTTGATATTAAATGAATTAAAATTACGTCCACAAAATTGAATCCATTTCTCACGAATAGACTCATCTTATGGAAATTAATGGAAACACAAACTAAATTCACTAGTCTCATTACACTTGTACGAATTTTAACAAGAAATGACCGAAGTTCAAAATGGTTCAAATATTCGAAAATACTGACAACTGTCAACTCAATACCATGCGCCATCATGCATGCGCCGGCCAATCGCCGGCGTACATATCATACACGAAGTGTACGAGAGTGCTAGACTTTTCGTGCAAAAGAAAGGGCCTATTACGTCATGAGTTACTCAAGGCAATGACGGCTAAATGGACTGTCTGACAAGTACTACATGACTGTCCAATCACTCAGTTCAGTGTATTCTCCACCAGAGGGGTTTACTTGCCGTCCTTTGCGGAGAAGTCATTTGTTTGGCTCTTATTCGGTTGTTTTCCAATAACATAGGTTATATTGAATTATTATTATTATTATCAAGTGTCAAAACTGTGTCACTGTCAGGTCCCTGATGTGTTCTGTTGAATATCGATAAATTCCTTTACTTTTTCGGAGTTTCATTCAATCAAGCATTCTTCTTTGTGTTTGGTTCTGGTAGTTTATTTATTCAGGTTTGCTAGTTGTATCTTCATCATGTATTTACAGCCTTCTAGCGTATGAAATGAAATGTGTGAATAATCGTATCAAAAATATGGGGTTTGCTTTTTCGAATCTCATACCCAGTGATAAACTCCACAGCAAGAATGGTCGAATTATATTTTGGAAGGCATTGGTAAGAATATGATTTTTCATGTACACTTTTCTGATGATTTTCAATTTCAGCCTCGATTCCACCATTAGAACACTGGTGTTGAAGTTTGTGTCAATGATTTTGAAAGACATTATAGAGTGATGATCAATAGCACTACATATGGCGACTTATCAGTATGGGGACATTCATTCAGAAAGAATCGCTTACCATAATTTTCAAAGTATGTTTTGTCTGCATTGTTGTTGCATAGCTAGGTAGGGTAGGAGTAGTATTGTTGAAAACTGTTTCATGTGAGCCTGATGGTTCAAGCCATCAATGCAACGTATTCAAACTTAAATTACCATATACCTACAGGATGGGCATCCCAAAAAGCAACACCAAGAATGAAAGAGGAATGGAATTTGAGGTATGCTCTTTGAATCCCAGAGAATCATCAGTCTAGGCCAACATCTGGAGTTTTTTCGAGTGCCACAACTACAATTTGAGGTATTTTGTGTTCCTGCTTCCTGGCAAATATCACAGAATAATGATACTATCAGAGATTTTCAAAAATGTTTTTCACTGCTGTGATGATTTTGTCACAAAAAATTTAAATTAATTATTTGGCCTAAGTTTATGTATTATGTATGCCCATCTATCAATGAGATCCTGTATAGCTTTCTTGTTTTCTTGAGATGAGATGGTATGTGAAATAAGATAAAATGTTGTCACTGATAATAGCCCACTAACTATAGCTTCCCCAAGTATATCTAAAAAGATGAAAAGAGTGCAAACTCAACTTTTGAAATTTGAAATGCATATAACTATTTCTGTCTCCACAAAGTTTTGAAAATGGTTGAAAAATATGGATTGATAGATAGATAGATGATATGTATAGAAAGCATTTATTCAAGTAATATAATAATTTCATTCCATAGACAGTCACCATAATAAACAATTTCCTTTTCCATTAAATTAGCTGATGATGAGCTTATATCTGAACTCAAAACATGCTTCTTCTCTGCACCAGATAATAGAAATTGTGGGATACACAATAATATAATATCATCTTCCTCTTTTATTTCCAGTGTCCACAGGATCTCCAGGTAACCTAGCTTCATCCTCCAAAGTCAAGATCCCATATCCAAGCCGTTTTATATTCATTGTGTTGCCATCCCCAGAACCTATAAAGAAATGTTGCTATAGAACATTTAATGATTTTGAAGCTGGCATAGTTCTATCAATTTTGCAATACAATTTATCTGTATATCTGATATAAAATATATAAGTATGGAATGATAAATTGATATTTAATTTGCTATTCATGGAGATACCTTGATATTGTAGTTAAAATGCCTGATTATTTTTCTGAACCCTCACCTAATTAAACAATTGTTCACAAAGCTCACCTTATATAGTAAATATTCTGGTTATGCATAGATAGCATCATCAGAATTGAATGTCTCCAGTCATCATTCAATCAAACCTCATGAAGAGCTGCTTCAACATTGTGTTGAGAAAATTCAGTATCTTCCTGAAAGTACAAATTAAGAAATATCACTTGAGATCACAGACTTTGTGAAACAATATGAAATGATGCAGTACATTTCACTTTGAGAATACAGCAGTATCTGGTTATTAGGGCTACCATGGCTCTAAGGCAGTTAAAAATTCAATCAATGAAATAATTTAACATGTCCTTACCTATTGACGAGGATGATTTCCACTTGAATGGCATTATTATGTATGCATATAATACCGTTATTTGGCATGAACACTCCTAACCACTTCATTTTGTTGGCCTTTTCACAGTTTTACTTGGTATCTCGAACTCGAACAAAGTTCTTCAATCTCGAGTGACAGGCTGACAGTAAGAAAATTTGTCAACAAATAATGCAGGATCATGAATGCAGGTTATGTTGAATAGCTCATTTGACACAGGAAATAGATGACGCCACTTGCCGTCCCTTCAAAATAGTCATCAGTTCTACCAACCTTGAATTATAACATTTGTCAGTTTTGAAATCGAATTGAGAGTTGAATAATCCCACTGTTACATAATTATTATGTTCCGCGTACCTAAAATGCCATTCGCCATTTCATTTCCACTCGTTTCAGCAGCAATAGAAGCATCACCATCGCGGGAAAATGTAGAATAAACGTCTCGCTCGTTGTGACGTAGAGAAATAGTAGGCGGTCGAGTGATTTTTCTGAAATTTTCTATACGTAATAATGGCCGAATGCGCGCACCATTATCTTACTCCCATCATTCTTACTTCCATCATTTATTGGATTAAAGGGTCCTTTCCTGTTCTTCAGAGTTACTGACATTATTCTTTGCTATATTTTAACCACGTTATGAAGGAATATGGTATTATCATCAACATAATTGGTGATCCTAACCTTAAAATCTGATCCTCACGTCAGCAGCTTCCATCCTTCCCTTTATAGGCGATGCGCCATATATAGAAATAGTAGATATATGGATGACGACTCAATGTCATCTGTCAACCTAGAATTTTAATTTTGAAAATTAACGAATAAACCGAACTCAGTGAACCTTATTTATTGAAAAGTAAAACTGGACTGTGGTGTCCAAACTTTCATTTGAATTTCAATTGGAGTTTGGAGCTGCTGTTTATTTGACTGATGAACTTTCTAGATATAAATATTATGGAGGAAGTGAATACGAAAATGGTTACCAGTTTCCTGCATGCCAGAGATAAAAGTATATTAGCTTTTAACAGAGCCGAATTGAAGAATGTAAAAGTGAATTTAGAAAATATCATCGATGAAAATAGTGAAGTTACTAATAATATACAAAGCTCTGATCAGGTAAAAAGGGCGAATACCTATACCTACCTACCCATGAATAGTTTTTGTAATTCATAATAGCTTTTTTGTTGTTTTTTTTTCAAGTTCATTTACAGACAGTATTTCAGTACTCCACGATTTGTAGTTGATGCTAGATGCTAGAATACTATTTTGTGAATTTCAAAATGCTTTATTATAAATAATAATAGTATAGTTTCCTAGGTATAGTATCATTGGTCTCTGATAATTCTAATGATGATAATTTATCTAATGCCTTCTATCCATCTTATTCAAATGGAGGTAAAAAATGTGGGGTTTTGGTGATCATTCTGGCTCCTTCAATTTGTGTGTTCACTGTTGTTTTGTGAGATATATCAAAGTAAACTTTTTGCTCTTCTAATATAACTTCTGGTCAGTGTATGCTGTATAAATATTCAAGTTATCAATTGCCTTTAATCTAAATAATCCAAGAAACATTGCTATATTAATAAAATAATGGGGATATACCTCAGGATATATGATAATATGATACCCAGAACAATACACTCACTAGAAAAAGAAGCCAACCAGAACAAAAAATTAATTCTCATCTCGTTTTGGTGAAATTCCAACCAAATCATAAATTCATGTTTCAGAATGTTAACCCTGAATTTTAGTTCCTAAGAAAAGATGAAGGCTTGATCTTCATACAGGAAAAAGCAAAAGTGACTCTCTTATCCTTCACTTCCTATCACCCTGTGTCAAAATTGTTTGGACTTGGCTTCATCATGTTTTGGATTGAATTATGATCCCTTCAAGTCAATATCTTTAACATTTAAGAGGATCATCTTGTATCTATACAGGGTATGTCATGACCAGCTTACACTATCTCTATATCAAGAATCAGTCAGTAGAAATCCATGAAAATATGCTTATATTTTAGAATATGCTCTTTTTTTAAAATATTTTCAACAATGCAGTGTTGCAGGTTCTATCAAAAAGTAGCAACAACTTTTTTATTTTAAATAGAATACCCTGTATTTTATTGCATTTTTAGATTCTCCTTGAAAAGCTAATTTCATCAATGCACCACACTTGGGGTCTACAGGGAATGATTACAGAGATATAGGTTGTTCAAAATCGAGATTTTTCAACTTTTGGATTTGTTTGTGTGGAAACTATTTATTATCGGCCAAAACGGCTCACATGTCCCTATCTCAACTTTTGATTTACTATTTACTGATATTTAATAGGAACAGATACAGGGTGATCAGAATTCTGAATCTTGAACCACCCTGTATCTGTTCCTATTAAATATCAGTGAATAGTGAATCAAAAGTTGAGATAGGGACATGTGAGCCGTTTTGACCCATAATGAATAGTTGAAAAATCTCGATTTTGAGCATCCTATATCTCTGTACTCATTATCGATAGACCCCAAGTGAGATACATAGATGAAATCAGCTCTTCAGGGAGAATCTAAAAACGCGATAAAATACAGGGTGTTCCATTTGAAATATAAATGTTGCTACTACTTTCTAGTAGAAGTGGCAACACTGCATTGTCGAAATTATTTCAAATCAAGAGAGCTTATTCTGAAATATAAGCATGCACATTTTCATAGATATCTCACAACTTGATTCTCTATATAAAGATAGTGTGAGATTATCATGACATACCCTGTATGACAAGTGTTTCAAGAATGTATGGAATTTTTTAATTTTTATTAATCTCCTCCAAGAAGGATTCATGGCAATTCCTCAAGACTGCTTGTGAAATCCAGCTATTCAAGCTAATCATCATCTTCATTGAGATGGTATGTTTTTTTGGTTGTTTTTTGAAAAGGTTTTTTGCCAATGAATGCTGAGAAAACAGGGTGGAAAATGGTGGTAAGTGATATTTTTTAGGTTGTTAATCCTTTTTTTTCAGATATATTTTTCAGGTTGTGAATAATTAAGTTCATGTAGGTTCTGAATTATTGTTCATAAAAATTTAAAAAATTCATAATTTATCAGAACATTTGTATTTACTCTTGAAAACAATATACAGGGTGTTTCCTAACTACGGTTCCTAACTGCAGGGGGTGATTTGTTAGGTCAATTTAAGAAGAAAAGTTCCTATGAACATATGTCCGGAGTTGCTATGGTTAAAATTTGGTACTTTCATTTGTCAAATTTTCTAAAATTTCCGCATTCAACTGTCAATTATATTTTTGGCGGAAATAATGACAAACTCATTTCTCCAATGCAGGTGTTCATGATATGCAATACAGTGGATTTAATGTTTTTTCTCGAAAACGAAGCTGGATATGAAGAAAATCGAAGAGACCAAAAAGTTGTATTTTGAGTTGCTTAATCTAAAAAAAATTAAATTTACTAAAAAAGTTAGTGGCGTACTTTTTTTAAATATTGTTGGCTCTGGTGCCCACTGAGACGCCACTGGCCCCAATAATTTCAATCTAAATAGGGCTAAATAAGCGCCTCATTAGTTCAAATAAAAGTATCAAATTTCAACCATATCGGTTCAAGGATATTCATAATATTTTGTAATTACCGTTTTTGTTCTTCGATTTCATCGCCCTGTATCTCAGAAACGAAGCCACTCCGGACATATGTTAATAGGAACTTATCTTCCTAAAATGACCTAACGAATCACCACCTGCAGTTAGGAACCATAGTTAGGAAACACCCTGTATTTGTGTGAATCAAAATCCATTGTACCTATTAAGAAAATGATACAGGACATTCAGAAGTTGAGGATTGAAGGATCACACTTGTTTTTTCCCTGTATATCATTTGATAACTTAAATGCAAGCTAACATTCCTAAACATCGTAAGATTTGCCAGTGAGTGTATATATACAACACATCAGAAACAATAGGGTGTGTATAATTTGCGGACTGGAATAAAATGCTGTGGACTGGCTATTTCCAATGAACAAATCGTTGTTTTTATTGAGAATCTGGATTCAGCTCATCGAACGACACGATAAAAAGTTTCAGATTTTTTCACTGCTTCCCTGGGGAGCACGTTACTCGTGTATTTTTTCATAAAATCTTGCGGACTGCGTATTTCAAGTCACATCATCTCAATTTTCTCAAAAATCGATTTAAGGAGGACAAATAATAATTTTGAAAACTTTTCATCATGTATTTTTATGAGATAAATCGATTTTCGGTGAATTTGAGTTGTTTTACTTGTAAAAATTCTCAGTCCGCAAGAATTTATGAAGAAACTCACGAGTAAAGTACTACCCAGGGGGGCTAGGGAAAAATTTAAGAACATTTCATCATGTATTTTCATGGGTTAAATCGAGTCTTGGGAACATTGAAATGATTTCACTGGTGAAAATACCCAGTCCGCAAGATTTTATGTGAAGTGTACCCCAGGGGGACAAGGGAAAAAAAATTAAAAACTTCCCATCGTGTATTTTCATGAGTTGAATCGATTCATAAGAAAATTGAGAAGATTTTACCTGCAAAAATACCCAGTCCGCAAGATTTTATGAAGAAACACGAGTAAAGTGCTTTCCAGGGGGACTAGAGAAAAATTTCAAAAACTTTATGTCAGTTATTTTCATGAGTTGAATCGATTTTTGTGAAAATTGAGATGATTTGACAAGCAAAAATACCGAGTCCGCAACATTTCATGAAAATACACAGGAGTAAAGTGCTCCCCAGGGGGGCTAGGGAAACATTTCAGAAACTTTTCATCGTGTATTTCCATGTGATATATCGATCTTTGGTAAAATTGAGATTATTTGACTGGTATAAATACCCAGTCCACAAGATTTTATGAAAAAACACAGGAGTAAAGTGCTCCCCAGGAGGGCTATGGAAAAAATTTAAGAGCTTTTCATCGAGTATTTTCATGAGTTTAATCGATTTTTGAGAAAATTGAAATGATTTGACTGGTAAAAATACCCAGTCCGCAGATTTTATGAAGAAACACACGAGAAAAGCGCTCCCCAGGGGAGTCAGGAAAAATTTAAAAACTTTTCATCCTGCATTTTCATGAGTTAAATCGATTCATAAGAAAATTGAGATGATTTTACTTGCAAAAATACCCAGTCCGCAAGATTCTATGGAAAAACACACGAGTAAAGTGCTCCCCAGGGGGGCTTGGGAAAAATTTCAAAAACTTTTTATCGTGTATTTTCATGCGTTGAATCGATTTTTCAGAAAATTGAGATGATTTGACTTGCAAATATACCCAGTCCTCAAGACATGAAAAAACACACCAGTAAAGTGCTCCCCAGGGAGGCTAGGGAAAAATTTCAGAAACTTTTCATCATGTATTTTCATGAGTTGAAATGATTTATGAGAAAATTGAAATGATTTGACTGGTAAAAATACCCAGTCCGCAGATTTTATGAAAAAACACACGAGTAAAGTGCTCCCCAGGGGAGCTAGGGAAACAATTTAAATACTTTTCATCGTGTATTTTCATGAGTTGAATCGGTTCATAAGAAAATTGAAATGATTTCACTTGCAGAAATACTCAGTCCGCAAGGCTTTATGAAAAAACACACCAGTAAAGTGTTCCCCAGGGAGGCTAGGGAAAAATTTTAAAAACTTTTTATCGTGTATTTTCATGCGTTGAATCGATTTTTTAGAATATTGAGATGTCCGTCAATGAGTTGCCTCTGATCCTTCCAAATGCATTCACCTGTTTATATGCAGATGATTCTACATTATTATTCACAGGCAAATCTGATACTCAAATTCAAAACAAAATTGATGATAGTATTCAGTCACTTTGTAGATGGTCATATGATAACTACCTTTATTTGAATGCTTCAAAAACAAATTACTTAACTTTTCATAGCAGACAGAATAAAAATGTTCCTGTTGTAGAAATAAATATAGATGATCGAACTATAGAGAGGGTTGAATGCACTACTTTCTTAGGGGTCAGACTTGATCATCATCTATGATTCAAATTACATTGTAAATCCCTAGCAAATACATTGAGTACTAAATGCTTTCAATTGAGAGCTCTCAAATCAATTTTGGACATGCGAGGGCTCCTACTCTTTTACCACGGAGAAATTCAATCTCGAATGACATGGAATCACCATCTGGGGTAACTCATCTGCCGCTCATGAAGTCTTCATAGTGCAGAAAAGAATTGTACGATGTCTTGCCAGTGTTCCTAGTGGCACCACATGTAGGGAATAATTCAAAGAATACAAGTTTCTTCTCCTATGTGGGTTATATATTCTTGAAGTTTTAACTAATATACATAAAAAACGAGAAAGTTTAAAGAAACATAATTCAATACATAGTTATCAAACGCGAACAAAGAATAATTTCTATTTGCCCAACGTACGTTTGACGAAATCATCGGACATATTGGGACTCAGACTATACAATTCTCTTCCCGAAGAATTAAAATTGATCAATGAACTGCATACGTTCAAAAATAAAATGAAAATGCATCGACCTCTGCCCCTATAGTTTGAACGAATTTTTTTAATACCTGTTTGTTTGTTTACTTAGACTACTTAGACTATGTTTTATTGTATTTCATATATCCAAATATTTGTACTGACTTGACTTGTCCGATAGCATATAACTGCTCCTTGGATTAAATAAACTTGAACTTGAACTTGATGATTTGACTTGCAAAAATACCCAGTCCGCAAGACTTTATGAAAAAACACACCAGTAAAGTGTTCCCCAGGGAGGCTAGGGAAAAATTTCAAAAACTTTTCATCATGTATTTTCATGAGTTGAACCGATTTATGAGAAAATTGAGATGATTTGACTGGTAAAAATACCCAGTCCGCAGATTTTATGAAAAAAACACATGTGTGAAGTGCTCCCCAGGGGGCGATTTTACTAAATATACTGCACGCTAGCACAAACCACGCCCACCATAATACGTCATATCTCCAAACATTACCGATATACTCGGAATCAAAACATCGCACTAAATATACTGTGCTCCAACGCAAGAATACACTTTTCATGATTTTGACACGAATTCGACTGAAGCTCTCTCGTTGTCAATCTCTTGTACGCAATTAATTCATATACCCAAATGGTCTACTGGTTAGCGCTGTTGACTTTCAGTCTGAAGGTCCATGGTTCGAATCGCTGTGAACTTGAACTTTTTTTTGCAACTTTTTTTTTCACCAATGTTTTTTTACTTCATTCTGGTTTTCCTTTTTCATAAAATATTTGAAGTCAAATAGGTTAGTGCGTTTAGGATAAACAGTCTCATTTTATTCAATTTTGTTGAAGAACTCAACTTTTGAAATATATTATTAATCAATGTGTTTCTACACTCCATTCGGTTTTCCTTCCTCAAAAATATTGCAATCAGGGATAGGTTAGTTCGTTAAGGATAAATAGTCTCTGAGTTTTGCCTAAGTACCTACTTCGAAGATGAGATATTACGGTGGGCGTGGTTTGTGCCAGCGTACAGTATATTTAGTAAAATCGCCCCCAGGGGGGCTAGGGAAGAATTTTAAAAACGTTTCATCGTGTATTTGCATGAGCCGAATCGATTTCTGGGAAAATTGAGATGATTTGACTAGCAAAAATACTTAGTCAGCAAGATTTTATGAAAAATCACACGAGTAATATATTCCCTAGGGGGAGGGGTGTCAATGAAAAAAATCTGAAACTTTTTATCGTGTAGTTTGATGAGCTGAATCCAGATATCCGATAAAAACAACTATTTCTTTGCTGAAACTAGCCAGTCCGCAGCATTTTATTCCAGCCCGCAAATTATATTTGGTCACTGTCTTTTCTAGGAGGACAAAAGTATAAGAGTGTATTTAAGATTGAAAGGTGGTGTGCCTTATGAAGATTTGTATCAGATAGACGGAGATTGTTTAACTTGCAAAGTACCAGAGGGATCTTACAGTACTAGAAATCTCAGGTATGGTGAATCTATAACAAGGACTTATGGTTTCACGAAAATCTTTGGCCCGGATGTAACACAGATTGACATTTTCAACAATATTGTGAAAGCAAGGTTATTGGGATTTATCAATGGAAGAAATTCTACACTTTTCACTTATGGAGCCTCAGGATCAGGTATTTCTTCTTTCAAACCAGAAGATTATCTGAATAAATAAAGCTGATGCCACTTTCAGGTAAAACATTCACCATTGTTGGTACCCCAGAAGAACCAGGTTTGATCCCCAGGGCACTGGAATATATATTCAGGACATTACCAGATCTTGACGATAAACCCAAAGTTAAACCATTATCCAATGGAACAACACAAGAACTTGATGCAAATCTACTACGCATTGAAAAGTACAACAAATCTGCTGTCTTAAATGCTACCTTGATAGACAAAACAGTTCATGTCAAAACATACAGGTCAGTGCATATTAAGCAATCACAATTTTTATATTTTGGTGAAAAATTAAAGTAATGGGATTTGATATTGACGGCAATGATGTTAATTACTTATTTATTTATCAATTTCTATTGGTTTATTCATGCCAGGTATTTGAAAATAAGGATTCAAATTGAATGATTTCTAAACATAAACAATCTTTATTTGAAATAAAATATAAATTCTGTAATTGCATTTCTGAACTTGATCTAAAAAGTGAATAAGCATAACTGTTCCAAACGATAAAAAAAACATAAATAGAACTGGAAAATCAAGTGGAAAATATTATGATATCCAGGAAATTGAAGTAAGTGCAACGAGTTTTCACAATTATCTTTTTTTATCGCTTGGAGCGCACGAAAGGGAATCCCTATAATGTTCAAAGAACATCGTGCGTTCCTAAGATATTACAGTTCAAAATGTGGCTTCAATCAACTTCAACTAATAGGAAACTACTGATTTTGAATTATATTTCTTTGAATTGTTTCTGTAACAGTAAGTAGTGTTTTCAAACCACTGAATTTGTTTTTATTTTTTGATATCTGATGAAAAGTCATCTACTTGGAAAATCGCAAAGAACTAAAAATAATCACTTTGGGTAAGAGATTAGAAATAAAAAATAAACTGTTGAAACTGAGAATTATTTATATTGGCAGATACCTAAAATCATACTTATATACATACATACTGTATTGTACAGATTCTCATTTTATAAATATTCAAAATCGCCTATTTTTCATGGCAATGTCTTTGGGGCTTCAATGCGAAATGGTGTGATAATTTCAGACAAATGCAAGAACGGCTGAGTTCTGAACCAGTAGCGGAAATCGTAGACATACCCAACGTTTCAGTAAGCATATGGGTCAGTTTCGCAGAAATTTACAATGAAAATATCCACGATTTGCTGGTATCACATCCCAAGGGAAAACAAAGGCCCAAACTGGCTCTGGGCAATTCCAACGACCAAATCTACATAAAAAATTTGACTTCGGTGAACGTGTCAAACGGCCTAGAGGCGTACCAAATACAGCAATTCGGTATCCACAACTTGAGATACGCCTCTACGGCGATCAACTCTCATTCCAGCCGTTCGCACAGTATCTTCACCATTCAGTTGGTGCAAACCTCGGATATCAGCGATGATGTACACATCAGCAGTTTCCATTTCTGCGATCTGGCCGGGTCCGAAAGAATGAAGAAAACGATGAATATGGGAGATCGGCTGAAGGAGTCCAACAATATAAATACCTCATTATTGGTGTTAGGTAAGTCATCTGTTCAACAACAGTATATCACAAATCAAGTGTTGTAAACAGCATGAATGAAAAAATTACGTGATTGCTTTACAATATGCTTTACATACTATATTTTACCTACGGCCATATGCAATGTGCCAAAAAGTCTGGACATATGACACTGTACTTCATTTCTTCAAATAGGACACCAGTATTTTAATGCAGGTTCATTTTTTTAACAATTTTGTTTCAAGCAATTATTATAGAGGATATATGTTCCACAACTTTGATGATCATACAGGACATAATTCGGTCTATTTACTATTATCTTGTTTCAATCAACATTATAGGAACAAGAAACTTGTCAAAAATGAAATTCTTCTCAAAAGACAATCAAAAATTCAAAGCAGAACTATTCTAAAATTGAAGAAGGTTTACTAGTGAATAAAAGTTGAGAATTCATAAAATAGCGAGTTGGAAAATTAATTGAAAAAAAAAGAGAGATTCATATACCAAAATTAGAATTAGCAAAATTCACAGGTATACAGGGTGTCCCGAAATTATTTAACTCTATAATGGCATTTCTGTCCTTTTCTACTTTCCATTTTCACTTATCACAATAATTGTCCACTTATAACTCAAGGAGAACTATAAACACGAACTATGCACAACTATCTAGTTTGGAAGAAACTGTCTCTTAGTGATATTTGGTAACCATGGAATAATGGATGAAAAAATTTATACCTGGATACAGATTAGGCGCGTTCGACCCTATCTATTCAATGGGACATCTAATACTTGAAATGACCGCGGCGGCAGCACTCACCAATGCCGTTCTGAAGTCATTGAGGAAGCTGTAGGGCTTTTTCATTTCGCATAGATTCAAAAGCATCCATCGTCTTATTCCAATGATTTTGGTATCAAATGAAAGATAAAAGCCAATCTACGTACTTGCTGTAAGGATTTTTTTAAAATGGAAATGGGAAGTGACAAAATGCTGCCTAGAAATAACTATTACAGACCCTTCAATACTCAGCTCTACTGGGATGAAATGGTCTTGACTAACTGTCAGGAAGGCACGTTAGTGTGGTACACTGACGGTTCTAAGACTGATGAGGGCACGGGAGCCGGAATATATGGAGATAGACACAGAACCAGGATGTGTGCTTCCTTGGGGAGGTATGCTTCAGTATTCCAGGCAGAGGTGCATGCTATTGAGGCATGCCTGAGAGAGAATATTATAAGAGGATACAGAGGTAAACAAATCCTCATATGCTCAGATAGTCAGGCGGCTATTCAATCTTTAACATGCAATAAAATCAGATCAAAACTGGTCTGGGATTGCCTTCAAAGCCTGCTAACCCTGGCCAACCACAACAAGGTAACTCGTCAATGGGTGCCAGGGCGGGCATGAGGGAATTGAGGGCAATGAAGCAGCTGACGCTCTTGCCAGGCAAGGGTCTGCGGCGTTGTTTATGGGACCGGAACCTGTGTTCGGTATCCCCAAAACCTCAATACGCGGCTGGCTGGCAAGGTGGATGCAAAAAAGACATCAGGCATACTGGAACAATGTCCCAGGACAAAGACACAGTAAACTGATGGTTGGAACACTGTCCAAAACAGTGACTAACGACATTCTGAGCCTAAACAGAAGTCAGATCAGACAAGTGACGGGACTAATAACCGGTCACTGCCCCTTGAGGAAACATATGCATCAGCATCTGGGAGCAGTAAACTCTGAAGAGGCCTTTCCAAATAATGATTTGGTGAAGAGACTGCTAAACCTTATCAAGGTAGCGAACCTGTTCACCTAAGTCAACAGCATGATCAGGAATACAATAGGCCCAAAAGCTGCAGTGTTTTGGGCTTCGAACCCTGACTGATCATTCTGCTATCAATCAATCAATCAATCAATCAAGGCTTTTCTGAAATTTCCAACCCAAATTTCCAAAATCGGCCTCGAAGTAGCTTGATTTTAGTGGAATGTTTCGGAACATGATGGAAAAAATTTGAGGAAATTCAAAATTCCATTACAGGACGTACGTTGGCTTAGGTGTTATTTAATGGCCTGTACTTGTTTTATATGTTCAACCGTTTTCGAGAAATTTCGAATTTGCGTGACCGTGTTATATGTATAAATGCCACTGCGGTGATGTACTCTTAATTTTGAATACATTTTGTGTTAGCCAACTTATTAAGTAGCTTCCTTCACAAACGATTTGAGGGCCTCCACCACATGCTCTGCCTATAGGCCACCGAAGTCTAATTCCGGCACTGGGTCTTGGTATTGGTCCCGAAAGTCAAGTCTTGGTCTTGGTCTTGGGAAGATTTATCAAGTCTTGGTCTTGTATCAAGACCAAGATAAGACCAAGACTGGACTCATGGTCTTGCGAAACCCTAGACATATCCAAGAAAATAAAAAAGTCCTTATTTCAGCAACATTTTCAACGAAAAGGCGTCTTGCCAACTTCATGATATAATAATTATTGTTAACTATCTAGAATAAATCTCAACCACAGGTCTCTTACATATCAAATTTCGAAAATCGAAATGAGAATTTTACAATAACAAAATTTCAATTTTCTCCAAAAGGATCTCAAAAGTTCGATCGAAGCAAAAAATACCAGTCATTTGAATATTCATAGAAGAAGGGGGGGGGGGGAAGAAGAGTTATTTTATGGGACTTTCTTGTAACTCGAATTTTTTATTCTTTGCAGGCAGGTGCATCGAAAACATAAAATGTCTGCAACAATTGAAGGATAAACGACTTATCCCATTCCGAGAATCCAAACTCACCCAGTTGTTCAAGAGAGCCCTGTTAGGATATGAAAACATAGAAATGATTGTAAACATAAATCCTTCGAGAGACATGTTTGATGAAACTCACCATGCTCTCAACTTCTCTGCAATAGCAAAGGAGATTATAGTAGAAGAACAGCCCAAGAAAACCCTGAAGAGGAAAAATAGATTCTCGGAAAGAATGGAACATAAGGAGGAAGTTGACAATAAAGAAACGGAAAAACTAAAGTACATGGTCTGTGAATTGTACAACGAAATTGAGCAGATGAAACACGACCACGAAAAGGAAATAGAAGACGAAAAGACTTACGTATCAAATTTGTACAAGAAATATTACGAAGATAAACTGAAAAGGCTGGAAGCTGAAAAGGCTGCAGAAATCGAAATGCTGCATGAAAAGTATCAGCTTGAATTAGAGAAATACACTGACGACAGTGTCATTAACATATCGAGTTCCAGTAACGAGTGCAACTCGCCTTGCACGGACCACAAAGCCGAAAGAAAGTCATCTATGAAAATTCAGATAGATAAATTGAAGGAAGATGATTTACTAATGAAGAACGAATTGGAAGAAATGAAGAAGAAAGTGAAAAAATTTTCGCTGGAAAATGTCAAGCTGCAAGAGGAATGCGCAATGTGGAGGCAGGAGTACATGGAAAAAGACGCACTCCTGAAAGACGCTCAATCATTACATGCAGACTTGCAGGAAGAACTTGGAGACCTGAAAAAAGAGTTGAAGGCGTTGAGAGCGCAATATATTTCGATTGTAGAAGAAAAAGATAGAACAGATCAGCGACTCACGTTTATGTATCAAAACAGCTACAGAGATTCCTATGACTCGGATGAAGAGGGAAATACCATTTCTCATACCCAAAACCAGTCAACGTTCAGCCAGAGTTGCATCAAGGATGAAGATAAGAAATTTTATTAAATCTCTCTAACCTAACTGTGATAAATTCCATTTTTTTACTAGTATTACGTATATTTTTTGTTTTCGTGTTGTAGGTCTTGAGAAAGTTCACAATGGGCCTTTCCAGTATATTAAAAATCGACCCCGTTTCGCTATAATGTCATGAAGGGAAGTAAAAAACGTTATCCCTACCATATATTTATAGAAAATACCGAACAACAAATGAATTATTTGATATTGGAAATGCACTTTCAATACCTATGAATTCAAAGGCTATTGAGCTGTGATGTCAGTGTCTTCTTGCAATTCAATTGGTTGGAGTTGTGTCGGCTGGGAAGCACGCCGCTGTTGCCAGGTCTATAAAATCCTTGAATTGATCCTATGTGCAAGATGGTGCAAGGTGCAAGGAATGTCATGATAGATCGAAAAAAATCTAAAAAAATTATTCCAAGGTATTCCAGAGCCATATATTTCGGGATATATTGTTTCTAGAAGTTACTGGAAAGGCCCATTCATACCCACAATGCGTCGTGGAATTCTTAGCCAGAACGCATTCCGAGTAATTTTCCTCATGTCGTGGGCAAATCGGCAAAATCCACACGTATATGGAGTTATTTATTTTCTTTTATATTCAAGTTTTGTGGTTTCCACGTTTTTACTTGCTCAATAATAATAGGTTATTTGTCGAGAGAAAATTTTGTCATTTCAAATAGCGAATTATATACGATTCTGCCTGGGTATCAATTTTGTGCAAAATATTTTGTGCCTCTCAGATTTCCCTTTTGTCGCCTTCACTCTATTACGCCCTGATGCTGTGCATAACTGGCTATAATGACTTGAGTTGAGATGAGTTGCACTGAGTACTTTAACTTTTATTATTTGACTTTGAGATTTGTGGTGTATATATTATTATATAAAAATGTTGAAAACTTTTCGAAATAATAAATCAAATTGTTCCAACATTTTTCTCTGTAATTTCACAAATAGACATGAACAATTATTGCCCTACTAAATAACCACACCGGTACACTTTTGTCTTACTTATAAGGGCGCCGTACATTATGCTATTTACCAGCAAGTTCGATGCAATGCAATTTTAAATCGAACAATGCGCATGCGTCTATGATATTTCACGGCAAGTTTCATGCAAGTTTCGTAATAGAACCAGTCCTATTTTTCCTGCAATTTCAAGGCAAGTTTAGTAAAATTTTCAGTAATATTCATCGTAGCATCTTGATAAAATACAAATTTTCTCCATAACGTGACCTGAAACGCCAAACAACCTCAAAAAGTACATTGGAGGCTCAAAAAACCTGGAAATAGAGAATATGAACAAGAAAAAATGACAGAAATATCTCAATGTACCGCGACTTGCAATGAATTGAGAAAATTGCGAGAAAATTGCATTGCCTCAAACTTGCCGAGAAATAGCATAATGTACGGCGCCCTTTAGACTGTAGAGTTTGCTTGTATCACATATTTACGTTTGAAGTTTTGATAGGAACTCAATGCAATGATGAATATTGAGAAATGACTATTGCCGAACAATTTGAATGGATCACAGGGCGAAAGAAATAGTTGTAAATTGTCGTATTTCGTATAGCATAATCACCACCTACCTAGCGTTCGGCATGCAACAGGTACCGTCAACCGGGACTATATCTTACGATATATTTTCATTCATATGCCTGTAAGTATTTTTATTGTTATACGAAATTAAAGCTAAATTATGCATTCTATAGCAAGAATTACCTACTAAAAATCTAACATTACTTCGTCAACAACACTGAATGAAAACTTAATAATTGAGAGTAGTTTCCATACTACATTCAACAACACAGCTTCATCACAAAATAATTCACTGTTGTGTGAAGGATTCGAGTTTGTTCTCTTAAGGAGAACAAGTCGCAAGTAGACATAGTGTGGTGTACGCGGTACGACTCTGGTAGCATGTCTTCACAAATAGAGAGTTAACACGCTGTTGAAAATTTTTGTAGATATAAATGAGCCTGTCATAGTGGTATACGCGTTGAATTTTTGGCTATTCATCAATAGAAAAAAGTTGATTTTGAGATTTTTCGACATAATACTGTGTTGTTCTGGGTGTGCCATATTTATATAAAAAAACTTTCAAAAGTAGGAACGGTTAATTTGTTAAACGTCCGATATAACCCGAGGTTTGGGGTGATATCAGATGCTTTGAATTTTACGCTGAAAAGTACGTTTTGGGGCTGGTATTTGATATAGGTTTGATCAATTACTTTTTTTGGACGATTTAATGCGAAATTAAAAATGGCCATACAGGGTACAGGGTGATGTAAAAGTGGAAGTACAATCGTTACAATACGATTAAACGTCTCTATTCATAAAAAACAGAAGAAAATCTGAAAATATAAGTCGACATAATATCTCATTTCATATTCGATATTACCCCTGAAAAGCACATGTTTGATAATATCGATTTTTTCACATTTTTTAGGCAAAGGAAAGACGCAAAATGAACTTTGAGCTCATGGAGGTCTTCATTAGGCTGATAAGAAATATTAATCTCATTGAAGTATATAGCTATTATGCACAGGGTTCACAGACTAGAGGAGACTATTTGGCTCAATTATAGCGAAAAATATGACTTGAATAATTATTTTTTTGTGAGCTTACCTTAAATTTCTGATCGAGCGCGAAACGCATGCACGACTGGTAGGTTATCTAGCAATCTGAGGAAATTTTTTTTAGTGAGTCAACTGTCACCTATCAGTTGTAGCGGGTACAGTGTAAAATATAACGATATAATTTTTCAGCCCCGGTTGACGGTATTCATTATAGTGATCAATATGTCATTTTTCACGACAAAATGATGGATTCAGTTGCCAAAAAAATTATCTAGAGCTGTAGCGCAAGGTGCCGCTACTAGAGAGTTTGCGAATGGGGGGTTATTATTTTGCTCATAAAACCTCATGTCTCAGGCAACCATATGACGAATGATCACGTCACTATGACGTCCCTAATTGGTGATTTTTTGTCAGAGACGTCACACACCAATTTATGACGTCACTATGACGTACTTTCTATGACGTGAGAATCACGTCATCATCTCGACGTCAGGTGAACGTCACTTAGAAGGGTAAAATAAGAAGTCAGTTTCATGACGTTGCAGGGACGTCCTGTCGACTGAAAATGCCCATCCTGTGTATATAGGTATACGTCACAAAACTTACGGTTTCACTATGTAAGTATACATGGAAACTTAGAACGCGAATATCTTCGTAGTCGTTCGAATCAAACCCAGTATCGTTGAATTCGTCATAATAATCCCTAACCGATTATGGAATAAAATACAGGGTTTCCTATAGAGAAATCAAAAGTTAGGGTCGTTTCTGGTGAGATCGGAAGTGATTGAACAAAAACTGTTTTGTCAATTAATGAACAATTTGGTATATACTTGCTACCCACCAATTTTCGAAGTCCGATCTAGAATGAATAAGAAGATACAGCACTGGCCGTTTTTTGTGCACTTCTCAGTATGCTTCTAACGTCGATAGAAGTATGACTCATTAAAACAAATCAACATGCAAGTTTTATTGGAATTATACGTCGATGGTACCTTAGACGTATACGGAAAACGGTACATTGGATTATCCTGAAAATTTGGTTACTCTAATAAGCGTTTGTGATCTAACGATTCAAAATATTTTCAGCGTAGCAGCGTTGCCACTTTTACCAAAAAGTAGCATCATCTTTGTTATTTCGAATGGAACACCCTGTATTTCATTGCGTTTTTAGATTCTTCTCGAAGAGCTGATTTCATCAATGTATCACACTTGGGGTCTAGCAGGAATTATTACAGAGATATAGGGTGTTCAAAATCGAGATTTTTCAACTTTACGATTTTTTTGTGTCGAAACTATTCATCATTGGTCAAAACGGCTTACATGTCCCTATATTAACTTTTGATTAACTATCTACCGACATACCGAAATATAATTATTTAGCGGCAAAAAATAAAGAGTGATATTGTGATATGTTCCTCCTAGTAATCTCGCTAGTAGCTATCTGTATTAACTTGAAAACAATTTATTCTGTAGGTATCTGATCCTAGTCAGAGTAATACCTAGTTCCGCTTATTTTATTTTTGTTGGTTCAATTTTTCTTATTTGATCTAGTTTTTTTATTTTCTATATCCGATAGGTACTATATTTTTATCAATTATTGTTTTATTCTTTGCATTTCTATATCCCATATATGTTCACCATCAAATGTTCAGTTTTGTTTTCGATTGTATTCGGGAAGATAATATTAGATTGGAATATTAATAATTGAAAAATTGGTGGGGACAAAACAGAAGAAGTAATGAGGGTATAGGAGCCGCAGGGGCCCCAAGGATTATTAAGCTAAGGGGCCCCAGAAACCTCACATCCGCCACTGTGAATTGGTACATTTATTCCGTTCTGAAAATGAACAAAATTTTATTGAAGTAATGGGTCATGTAGGTACCACGGGAATTGAAGAGCCGCCAGAATAAGCGGGACGCAAACTTTGCCATCGTTAATTAATGCCACTATAATTCGCTTGATACAGGAATAACTACCAATATAGCACTCGACGTCTTGGGGAGACGTCCATTTCAGGTCCGATTTTGGTCTGAACGTCCAAGACCTTTTCAAGACGTACTGAAAACGTCCATTTCCTGGTACGTACTTGGTACGTACGATTCCGATGTACTGAGTTAGTCCAACTCTGGACGTTATCGACTTTTTTTGGACGGAATTGAATATACTGTATAATGATGTATTTGAAATCATTGCATATAATTGCTACCCTCGATCTCTGATATCTATTGCAAACATGAACATAATACAATTCTCACAATTCATTTTTTACTGGCCGTACCTAATCACAAAACATCTGTTTAGGAATTCTCTGCCGTGATCATCTAATTCTATGAAAGTATCGATGTGAAGGGTCAATCGACATTCGCACATAATTTGCTTGTTGTATACTGACATATCAATAAGTGTTCTGTAGAGTAAAGGTCGCGTTTTTTTTCATTTTTAATTCAAAATAAGATTTTTTCTCCTCTGTCTAGATCTCTTTTTTCAACTATCTGAATAAAAAAAGGCGGATCAACGTTGATTCAGGTATCCATGGTCCTGAATGAACGTACAGGGGATGTACAAATGCGCGGAATCTGGACGGTCCTAATCTGGACATCCCCAGTACGTAAGTACAGGGTGGGCAAAATTGGGCGTTTTCGTAGGCTATCTCCAGTAACTGAAGGAGCTATCAAAAAATCGATATACATGTTACGGGTTCGATTTTAGAGAAACCTCGAATGGTACAATTGGAATTTTGATATCTTCATTCGTTTCAAAGATACAAGGGGAAATTGAAAAATTGCCGATTTCGTTTTTATTTTCTGAGT